CTCCCGCAGAGCCGGATGCTTCCAGACGCGACGGCCAGGCCCGGTCGGAAGATGGAAACCAGCCGTGTGCTCGGAGCTGCGAGGACGGGGACGGGAGAGGTGATCCCGCGGAGACCGGCAGCAGTGAGTGGCTTCGGGACGAGCGGGCTGTCAGGACGTAGACCGCCAAAACCCGGCAGCTGGGCTCTTTTGGGGACTTGCTGTGTTGAGCATGGCCTTCATACGTGGCTCTTGGGCACCTCATCCCTCCCGGTCTTACCAGAACGCTACATCAAACCTCCTTTTTTTTCCTCTCCCGGTTGCTGAGCTGCGACGGAGTTGCAGTTGCCAGTGCCAAACCTGCAGTCCCCTTGCCTTTAGGCCGTGTCTGCATGGCCAAAGTGGGATGACGTTCTGTTTTCCAGCCTGAAGGCCGGCTGTCGAGAGGACTTTCTATTCTGTGTGCACAAACCTACAGAATGTAGCTGGTTTTACACACGCACGAAGTATTCATTGATTGTGTTAGAGGTATAAAGGTAACGTGCAGAGCGGTAGCCCATCTGTATCTCCTTATGTATTTCCTTTTTGTTTTTCTTTTCTCAGTAAGTTTCATTCATAATTCTGACGAGTGCTTTTCTGATGGGTTAGAAGTGTGTTTTACCGAGACTGACTGAAAAGGGAATGGCATAGCGCTGGCAGAGCCAAAAGAGAAGCAAAACTCGAGAAGGAGAATTCAAGTGGCACTCTCCCGGGGCCACGGAGAACGTGTTTTCATTTGCTAATGGGCGCCGCAACAAAATGGAGTTTACACTTGCATGAAACTCTTGTGTTTCTGAAGCTCAAACATCTGCGGAGGGTTTTGTGACAAATACTTTAGGTCTGTTAAGGGACCTTGGTCAGTGAGAACTAGAACTGAAGTGAGGTTTTCTCTAGAATGTGAGCTAGAACAGAGCTGCTGTGCCTGGGATGGGATCAGAATTGGAATTAATTTTGTGTATGGAATTAAAATAACATTGGTTCCTATTAGCAGAAGACAGCATAATCCATATTAAGCAAGAGGAAGAGTTGTGTGCTGCAGATCAGCAGGAGGGGGAGGCTGGAGAAGCTCCTGAAGAGTCCTGCCCGGGTGAGTAACTGCATACCTCGGAGGGAAAATGAAACACAGGCATTACATTCCAAGGGCTTGTTTTTTTTTTTTTTTTCCCACCTCTTCGCACGTATTCCAAATCTTTTATAAAAAGCTCACAAGTTTTGAACAGACTCGCCACCAGTCCTGACGGGTAGAGGCTGGTATTTCGTCTTTCCCTTCTCACGGCCATTTTGGAGCTTGCAGAGTATGTGGCTGGTTTTCATCCAAGCAGTGCAGTGTGGAATAGGAAATGTTTCATTCTCCCTTAAATTCCTTAACTTTGCTTCCCTCAAGTTGATAGCTCTAAGCTGGTTAAATATCTAGCGCAAAGCGGGTCATTAGTCACTTTTTGGGGCCGATGGGTTAACTGAGGAGGTGGAAATCAGCGCCAGAACGAGGTCTGTGGTTGGTGCCACCCGCTGCACGGCTGCTTTTGCACGGAGGCAGGGCCGCCTGCGCTGTCCTGGCTCCAGGGGACTCGGAGTGCCTGTGGCAGCTCCTCAGCTCCACGGCCCCTGCAGCCTTCTCTTGCAGGGGCCGCCGTGCCTCTCCTCCTGCGTATCCAGCGGCCTCAGGTTGCCTTTTCCCTCCTCCCTTCTCTTCTGTGGTTTTTCTGCGTACACGAGCAAGCACACCGACTCCTTGGTAGTGCTGCTGCGGTAACGGGCGGTACTCGGGGAGGCTGCGCAGCGCAGGGACCCGTTTTTTGCCTTCTCGCTCGGTGGTACCTCTTTGCGTCACAAATAAAGTATTCTGCTTTGGAGCTTGGCTGGCCTTACTCTTTGCAAAGGGTAGCAACTCTATCTGTTGGCTCCGCTGTAATTTTAGTTGGCTGCCAGTGTATGTAGCAAACTGGGATTTTTAGACCTTTCCATCGGGTTTCGTTAAACTGGGCTTATGGGATCTTGTGTAAAATCTAGGGTTGGCTTGGGGTGAAACAAGAGCCCTTGTGAAATCCTGAGCTTACGCTCTTATGATAGGCTTGTCTTGAATTTTCTCCTTTAGCAGAGCAAGCGTTTTATGAGCCTGAGGCTTCAAGTCAGGCCAGGAAAGGCAGGGAGGCGTATGCCAGGGAGCTGCCAGGCGCAGAGGGCGAGGACCTCCCAAGAGACCCTGACACAGGTGAGGATTCCCTGGCAAAAACTCCCACTGCAGGAATTACCCCTCAGGTGGCTTTTTATGTCCTGTCTTCCCTGAGGCTTTGTCAGCACTTTTCTTATCTTTGCGAATGCCCAAATCTTCTGTGCTTTGCATCTTTCTCCAGTGTTTCTCAATTGTGTAAATTCTCCCCGACGAACAGGATTTCAGACTTACGCAACTGATGTTTTATCATGGATTAAACAAGAGGAGGAGCCACGCTGCCCTGAACGACAAGACTTGGAGAAAGAAGAAATCTCTACAGATCCAAGTACAGGTCAGTAATGGATTTCAGCTGAGATTTCTGGGACAGCGAATCTAATTTAAAGCATTTTTCATACTATATTAAATGTCACGACCTTACAATGTAAGCCGTGAAAGAACTGGAACAAACCTCAGTCTGCTAGTTAATATCTGTTCACAAAAATTTCAAATTCTGTCAGCTGAAGAGGCTCCTTCCCCCTTCAGCTGGCCTAAAACTGTCATAGGCGCTGTCTTGGGTTTCTGTTTAGGCAAGCACAGTGGTGTGCTCAGACCTTACGGATCAAGTTTGTACTTCCAGCTGGCTTGATGGTGACTAAACCTGGTACCGATGAACACGGAGCCCTGGCTTCGCGCTCCCAAGCAGGAGAGCTATCCTGCAGCAAAAGAGAAGGCAGGTTTAGTGCAAAACAATTTTAGGGCGCGCTGTTTGGAGAGGTGCATGCTAACATTCATTCAGAGGAGGTTTTGTACAGAGCGCACTTGGAGTACGGGTCATGCTTGAGGGAGATTCAATCTTTGAATAATAGAGGGAGATTCATAGAATCATAGAATCATAGAATCGTTTAGGTTGGAAAAGCCCTTTAAGATCATCCAGTCCAACCATTAACCTCCACTACCAAGTCCACACTAAACCAATCAAGGGTAGACCAGACTGAACCATGTCCCCAAGTGCC